TATTATTAATTTTTTATTATTATTAATTTTTTGAATTTTTAAAATTTTTTAAATAATATATTTATGATAACAACAGACTAAATTTAATTCTGTACATTTTGAAGAACTTCAATCGTATGCAAGTAAAACAGTCCCTTTGCCTTTATTCATCTTAATATGATCTAATTTAAGAAATTTAAAAGATTAGAAATAATTTTTAGACCTATTACCTTCTTACCTTCTTAATTAAAAGAATATCTAATTTAATGGAGTACGTATGTAACTAATAAATAAATTAAAAAATAACACTACCTCACCATTATTATCCAGATTAATGGAGTCTCTGTTGTATATAAAGTTCTTACAGACGTGTTGAAACAAGACCCAACAAGTCGGAAACGATTGACCAATCAAATAGCTCCATGTTGTTTTAAGTTCATTTCATCATTTGCATTAAAGACTTATGTAAATCATTGTTATTGCTTACAAGTTACTACGGGAAATTGTAATGTACGCGGATTGCTTACTACAGGAAAAAACTAATGTTTATTTGAGCTTATCAGATAAAAAAAATTACTAACGGAGGACAAACTGTTCTGAGAAAGGAGGCCATTATGGGTATATCTGAATACAGGGAAGTCTTTTATTTTTTCTAGAGTCAGTGGAGAAAATGTATTCTATTTGGTATTCAAACGTAGGACACTGTTATTTCGGTTATTTCGAGAATGTATGGAAACATTACAGTATATTGATGATAAGGAATTTGATTCGTCAGACCAGATAATAAATAACGAGTTTGATATAAATAATTTATCATTTGCATCAATGTCGGCGTTTTTAAATGAAACATTTTTTTCTCCTGGCTGTTATAAACACACGGGAAAGTATTGTAATCGTTTCAAATTTTTACTTTCCCTGCTGTTATAACATAATACAATAGTGCCTCGTACTTCGAATTTAATTCATTCCAGGAAGCCGTTCGAAGTCTGAAGCAATTTTTTCTCATTAGAAATAATGGAAAACGATTTAATCCATTCCCGGACACTAAACAATACCTATTTCGATAAAATTAAAATAGCAAATATACATAGTTTAAGGTAAAAATAAAACAAGTAAATGCGCTAATAATAAAACACGAAAACAAAAAAATGGCATAAATCTAGCCTATATATATATATATGAGGATGTCTGTTTGTTCGCTATACACTCCTAGGCCGTTCGATCAATTGCTACGAAACTCGGCAGTAACCTCTAACTAAAATAATGTCTTACATCCCACCCCAAATTATCGATTGGATTTCCATATATCGATTAATTTCTGTATACATTTGATTGCTGGCTTTGTACGTAGCGCCATCTATTGGAAAAATTTAACAAAATAATTAACTAAATATAATTCATACAAAAAAGGATATAATTTTTTAAATATATTGTCTGCCATTACGCCATTGCTACGACAGGTAGCACGTAGCACTTGCCTGCGTGTAGTAGTGTTTTGTCCCCGTACTGTACATCATACTTTTCCTGTTACATAATCGGCACGACTCTATTGCTAACTAACTCCATTCGGGAAAAATTTTTGAATTGAAATAACGTGACTTGCAGTACAAATTGAAAGTTCTTATATAGTTAATCTGGTCCTCTTTCTCTTAAGCTTTCCATATCTGGTCTCGACTTTCATCTATCTAACCTTATTCTTGAAATTAACATAGGACAACTAGAAAAATGACAGTGGGAACTTATAGGTCTACAATTTTCTCAAATTGCAGCCCAATAAGTAACCAAGTTGATAAAACTACCGAACACCGGTAGTCGGTCGTGGGTTCGTCCATGGCCGACGGACTACACGGACGGGAAACCATACGTGGCCAATCTGGCCACATGTAGTTTTCCGGGTTTTCTTCGCGTTAATAACATTTAAATTGGGGCCAGCTTTACATAAATGTCTTCCCGGGATGCATCCCCCTCAGCAGATCGCTCAGGTGTCGTGTTGCTGTAACCAAATAAATCAAATTCTAATTATTATTCTATAAACGCTATATTTACGAGGACGTACTTAACTACCAGGAAACCTGGACATCCGCCCCCTTTCCTGATTTCATCTCCCCGTATTAACTCATAAACCCATTGCCCCAAACTTTCTACTCATATTGCCGAAAGATGTCCTAACATTCAGCCAAATTAATGTATGAGCCAAGATTTTAAGGCACAAAGTACATCTCGAAGTCTCTGTGCCGATGTTTATTTTGTGCCTTACGTCTGTTCTTGCTTCCCCTTCGCCACGTGGTGGGTCTAACTCGGTGGAGAGGAGTTATGTAATTCAGGGGTGTGTGACCGAGGGGTGAGTGTTTTATGGACGGGGTGTGTCTCAGGGAGAGGGGTGGAGGGAAGTGGAGAGTGGAGAAAACGGGAGATGAGTAAGGACAGGGAGTGAAGTGTGGGAAAATGTATAAGGGGTATCTAGTGTCTTTTGATAACTAATATGTTAATCAATGCCCTGATTNGGATAAGTATGCAAACAATTCGTTTCATACGAAATGAACTGTACCATTGGTTTGTTGTTATCTAATAATTGGTGTTTCTAAGTTATGTCATAATTCAAAGGAAAGAAATAAAAATTTATATTTTTATACACGAATAATATATTTTTAATATAAAAAAAATAAAGGGAAGAAAAGGATAGTTTTTAGACGAGTTAGTTAAGACGACGACGACAATTCTAAATTGGCGATATTTATTTCATTGTTTTTATGGTTCAACATACCCATTCGAGACGGAATAGTTCATTTGAACAAAACTCTTATTAAAGGAAAGGAAAAATATAAAATTAAGTGCCTTTTAATAAGTGTTTTTTGTTTTTTTTTTAATTTTGAGCCATTTTTTCTTAAAAAATCCTGCATTAAAGAGATTAAAATGCATAAGAAACGATCGATAGTACTTGAAAATTTTATTTACTTCGAGCCAAAAAAGAGTGGAGGAGAAGAGAAGGGGAAAGAAAAGAAAAAACGAACGGCATTTGTGCCCTTCTCTCTAGAAATGCTTTTCCAATTTCTATCGCCAGAGTGAGCTGCGCAATGAAATCGTATGCCGAGTTGAGATGAGCGCTTTCCAAGTGGTCGTGTGCGAATGGACGTTCCTTCACATAACTTGAAACACTCTTAAGAGAATATTGCAACGAAACGTCCATTCGCACTCCAATTGTTAATGTCAAAATAATTTTCATTTATTTAAAAAAAAAACAAAAAAAAAATTAATCTCAAATTTTGATTGTACACATCGATATTTTAAGGTAGGTTATCTTTAAATTAATTAATTTATAATTAATTATATTTTACTTAATCTTCATTTATTTTATTTATTTATTAATACTCTGCTTGAACCTAATTCGGTAACGAAACGTTGATTTGTTTTTTTGGGGGAAAGGACCACGCGTAAAATAATTAAAAAAAAAGAAATTATTTTTTTACTACAGAAAAAAGAATTTAGTTCTTAATTACGCGACTATGTTTTAAAATTCGATCTTTCTTGTCCGTGGTTAAAGAGAACGAAAAGAAGGGAGGAAAATAAAACTTGCCTATCACAGGATGAATAATTTAAAAGGGATAGATTAAACTTAGATCATTACCTCTAACGAGGTTTTCAAGTAAATTTTATAACTAGAAAAATTATTTCCTTTCTTTTCTTTCTCTCGCTCGCTACTTGCCGCTTTCATTTTCATTAAAGATAATCATGGGTTGTCATCTGTCAAAGAGATTTGACAGATTGAAAATATTATATTCGAAAGAAGAAATATGGCTTCCAGTAATGAAAAAAGAGGGGAAAATGACATTAATGCCGAACTTCAATAAGGAAAAAAAAAATCTCCCGGCATTGTGTTTAATATTGACTTCATAATTAATAACTATCGATCGCCATCGACGTATTTTTCAACATTGTTATCGCTGAAAATGTTTTTGAGAAATTGCTTTTGTTAGTTTAATTTTAAAAAAAATACATAAAATTAGATATATAATTTTTTTTAATGGAATCGATCCTTATAATATATTTTAGTTAGATCGATTTTTATAAATTCCCTGGCCATTTTTCATTAATTAGTACAAAGCGTTACAAACATTCCCTGATAGAGTTTAATCAATTGATTCGTTTTATTTTGGAAACATAATTAAGTTACTCATTGTGAAATATTACAGTAATTATAAAAATTTCGAATTGTCATGCAATTCGAAAATAGTGAATTTAATGCTACTTATAGTGATTTCCCCAACTTACGGGTCGCGACTTACTTGCGATCTTCGGGATTTTTATAATGATGCATTAATCTAGAATGCAAATAACTCGATAATGCAATTTAAAAAAGGCAATTAATCATTTTCAAAACTTAATAGGAATTTTAATAAAGAACCGCTTTTAAAACTTTGTTAATTTAGTTTTCGATTAGGGGGAGAAGTATTTAATTAACTTTATACTTTCGTTGGTGTATTTGAAAATATTTAAAAAAAAATTATCTATTACAATAAAATTTACAATTTATCTAATAGAGAATTTCTTATTACGTAGAGTAATGCCCATGCAAATGAAGAGTGGACCCATGCTTCATTACAAAAGTAAGTTATCTTCTATGCATTAATCGATAGGACGAACAAACCGGTAAGAGGATAATGGAACATTTTCTTGTTTCAATAACTTTCATGTAATAGAATTTTTTAAAGTAATGATTGTCTTCGTTCCATTGCAGACAGATTTCTTTACATAGGCACTATTTGAATTTGGTAGCCAAGGAGACAATGTTATTCACTTATTTGTTCTTTCCCATACAATATGATAATCACACGGGAATACACTAGAATGGAGATGGGTACATATTGACCATTATCATACCTTTTCAATATTATACACAGAACCTATTCAAAGTTTATTGAATATAATTCACGCGTTAGGAAATTTTAATTGATTTTTTAGATTAATCTTCCTGGTTATTATTCAAAATACTTCATTTATCATTAAAAATTTACTTGTATATTATTATTATTATTATTTATACGCACATTTTAATGTCGATTACATAAATCTGGATGTATTCGAAGAGTTCCTTAGTTACTTTATAGTTTTTTGAATCATATGAAGTGCAATGGATTGATTTAATGGCTCTAAAATTTGAATTTTGTCCAAAATATGATTTAAATAAGTGCTATCGAATATTTATAAAATGTTCGTAGTGTTGTCCAGTAGTAATTTGTTTTATTCAAAAATTGATTTCTGATGAAATAAAACAATTTAAAACGATACCGTATATATAATATAATAAATAAATTAAATAGAAAAACCGTCGAATTATAATAAAATAAAATGCAAAAAAGAAAAATTAATGGAATTCAATGCTACAAAGTAATTAAAAACTATATTTTTATTATAAGAGATTTTTCTTCTATAGGTCTCACTTTTGGAAACGAATTTTTAAATCATCATTTTAAATAAAGAAACGTAATTATTTTATTTATTAAAATCTCTTGAAATTAGAGAAAAATGTAATTAATAATTATATTGTTTGCAGTTTTTTGAAGTTTTATAAGTAATTTCAAAAATTAGTTTTTTTAAACTATTTTAATAAAAGCATTAATGAATTTAATTTTTAAATTTTACAAAAGTACTGTTTTCTAAAAATATATAAAAAATAATTGAATAATATAAATGTTTATACTTTAGTTTAAAATATTAAAAATAAAATGCAATATATAAATTGAAAAGTATTATTTATTTGACAAATTTATGTGATTTACTATGTTTAGCAGAAACAGATCTTCATGAAATAACCAAATTCATCTTAGAATAATAGTAATTTACTCTTTTTTATGAACAGCGTTTAAATTTTATGCAAACATTTAAGTTTTGGTTAATTAAATTACCGATATATAATTTTCATAAAGTAAAATACAGGATTAGAGATACATTCAAAAAACTTTAGAATTAAATTGATTTGTTTCTAGCATGTAAATATTTCAATATATGTGTATCTTCGGCATACATTCTACTTTGATGGAAAGTTTTTTCTTGTGAAAAGAATCATCTTAAAGCTTATATAAGTTCTCCTTTGAGAGTTAAAGAACAAGCTTGAGCAGCTTACGTCCTACAAGATAATCCTCAGTCTATCGATCGAACGAAGACAATAACCCAAGTAGTTCATTGTGTTATCGAGAGAATCGTCCATTGTCGCTCTCTGACTCTAAATAAGTTTTTTGTAATTCGCTGTACTAAAACACACTTTTCTCTGTTGACAGAACGTATTTTTAAGAAAGATTGGAGGAGAGAATATGTCGTACTTTACGACAACAGCGCTCTCGTATGGCTGAAAATTGAGAAAGATAAACTAGAACCCGAGGGATCTCTTATGCTCAAGGATGCTCCAGAACTCGTGGCTTGCGGTCCCTTTACTATCCAAGTCCCAAACAGACCAGAAATTCCCGAAGGTTATAAAGTATCCCAGTTATTGGCTTTCGGATCTAGAAAGGACGAATCTGTACATTGGTTTCTTTGTAAAAATTCCGAGGACGTCCTGTAAGTAGTATTCAACTTGTAAATTATTCAAAATATAATATCTCAATGGTTAGTTCGAATTGAAATTTTTATTCGACTCTTATCAAAATTGCTGAAATCAAAGTTAGATAAAGAGAGACGATATCACTTATATCAAATACTCGATGTCTTTTAGATAATATATCAGTCTTATTCATGTTTTATTTTATTAAAAATGAAAACACGTTTCAAAGGAAACAAAACGATAGCAATGTTATGTAATATTTCAAATAAATTTTAAATTTCTCTCGCTAGTAGCTTAAATGCATAATTAAAAATCGTTTTATTTATATGTTCAAACAGTATAAGATGTGTATAAAATTTAATTTTTGCAACACAAATTATGCATGAAATTTATAGATCATGTAACGTTTACTATTGTATTAGTTTGCGAATATAACGCGAAAAATCTTTTATTTAAGATTATTTAAGATAAGCGCTATTGCTTTTCATAATCAAAACAAGTTCAAAATTATGCAAAATTAAACAGCACCACGAAAAAGAAGAAATTTTATTTAGAGAGTGTATAGATTTTAGCGTAAAGTTTTCTCTTAAATAAATATTTATACGATCGATGAACTCGAGTAGACAATTTTCGATTCTCGACTTTTGAATATCTCCAGTTAAAATTGTTTGAATAATTTCGAATAATTAAATCGATCGATCCTTTAGCCCGGATTTTAACGATTTATTCGAAAATATTCGTCGGATAATGTTTCTTTCGTCAAATATTCACGTCTTTATTCCGTATTCGTATTATGATAATTCTTTTCTTTTCAGAGCGTGGATAACTGCCATCAATAACACAGTAAGTCGATTTATGGCAATTTGTTTTTATATATTTAAGTCTGAATTTTATAGTTGTCATCTTACATTTGTTATAGTTAGGTATAAATTTTAAATTAAATATACACTGGTACCTCGTACTTCAAACGGCCTCCCGAAACGAATTAAATTCGAAGTACGTGGCACCACTTTGAGTTATAAAAATTGTAAGCTCATTAAAATATACGTGTATATTGAAGGAAAGTTAAATTATAATTATTATTTATCAAAAAATCTACAATACCAGATGAGTGGTTAATATAAATTTTTTTTATTTTCAGCTTCCACCACCGCCTCCACCTCGTATCGACGAAAAGAATAAAACTATTTCGCGTAAGTAATTAAAATTATAAATATTATTCCTTTATATATAATATAAAATTCATTGGTTTTACACGCAGAAAGCGAGAAGTATAACGAAGAGGATGCATTTACTTGTGGCATGTTAACAGCAACAATATTAGGAACCGGTTGGGGATCGGGATGGGGTTGGGACGATCATGTGTCCGCATCGGATCACATGTCCAGCATCTCGGATGGAATGCAAAGTGATGGATACGATGTGAATATATTCGATGGAGACGGATGCGATTTTGATGTTTGCGCTTTTGCTTTTTAAAGAAAAACAAAGTAGTTTGAGAGAATATTAATAGATTTTTAGTCGATAAACTATTTGTATAGGAAAAAAACAGGGGGAAAAATGTTTGGTAATGTCGTTCTTTTTGTAAAACAGATTTATGTTAGTTTTAGAAAAAACAAGGAACGTTGTTTTGTATCCGTTTTAGAGATTTGGAGAAAATTATACAATAAATTATTGAAATATATAAATATATACATGTATAAAACTGTACGAGATGAGTATTTTAATTTTAAGAATTTATTATTAAATATAAGGCGAATTTAATTATCTAAAATTGCCAGCGGGAAAAAAGTAATTTTGCAAAAAAAAGAAAGAAAAAGAAAAAAAGCAAACCATGCAAATAAATTTTTATCGATAAGAAGATGAATGTCAGCAAGATAGTTGTCAATATATTTCCACGAATAAGGAAAAATATTTATATAAAAAAATTCATACTGAAACTTATGACAAAATAATTTAAAAAACATTAAAACCATTCAGACATTTTTAAAATAACCGTTATTATTATTTCTGTTGTAAAATAAAACTAATTATAATTCACCGAAAAATTAAATTATTATATTTTTTGTAAAAATGTAAATATTTTAAATATATTTATATGAAAAATTGTCTCTATATATGTAAAAGCAACTTTTATTTTTTCATTCTTTCTTTAATTAACTTAAGAGTTTTAAAAAAATTGAGAAATGTGAACATTTCTTTAAAATTTTTTTAAAATAAATATACGAAAATTATTTTTAATTAAATAATAGTTTTCAGCACAGATAATACACATCAAAATATTCAATATATTGAAACTGGATTAAAGAGTTAAATTGGTAGTCCCGATTGATTCTGCTTTAAATCTAGTTCGTTTCATTAAATCTTCAACAACAAAACTTGATGAAACTTCATTGAATTATAATATAATCGTAAATTAAATCTATTAAATAACTTTTAGAACCGTATTCCTTTAATTAACTTTAAGTCCGTTTCGAATTAATCCTTCATATAAGCTTATTTATGCAATTAACAAGAGATTAGCGAAATTAAAAATGATTTCGGTTTAAAAAGTTACAATAAAATCAATAACAATACAATTAATTTCAATGAAAGAATTGTTTAAAAACATATCATTAGAATAATTTCGAGTCAAATTTTAAATTTAAGTTATTTTTGGCTAGTTAATCCCAAATAAGAATCGAATTAATCTGTAAGATGTTTAGTTTCACAACATGTAACTTAAGTGAACCTGCGGAGCCATTTCCTGGAGCATCTTCTATCGATCGATGAAAGTCTCCACAATTAACACTTTTATCTTTTCAGATTTTCAATTATTCTCTCCACGAATATCGAATTTAAAAATTTTATTTTATTTATCTTCTCGTAAAATTCATCATTATTAATAATATTTGATCTATCCTTCGCCAAATGCTCCATTATCTTAAGGATTCTTTCTAACTTTTCGAAGAAATGCTTAGGTTAATGAGCATTTGGCTCATAGAGAACATTATGAATAATCATCATAGAAAATGCTNATAAATAACGAGTTTGATATAAATAATTTATCATTTGCATCAATGTCGGCGTTTTTAAATGAAACATTTTTCTCTCCTGGCTGTTATAAACACACGGGAAAGTATTGTAATCGTTTCAAATTTTTACTTTCCCTGCTGTTATAACATAATACAATAGTGCCTCGTACTTCGAATTTAATTCATTCCAGGAAGCCGTTCGAAGTCTGAAGCAATTTTTTCTCATTAGAAATAATGGAAAACGATTTAATCCATTCCCGGACACTAAACAATACCTATTTCGATAAAATTAAAATAGCAAATATACATAGTTTAAGGTAAAAATAAAACAAGTAAATGCGCTAATAATAAAACACGAAAACAAAAAAATGGCATAAATCTAGCCTATATATATATATATGAGGATGTCTGTTTGTTCGCTATACACTCCTAGGCCGTTCGATCAATTGCTACGAAACTCGGCAGTAACCTCTAACTAAAATAATGTCTTACATCCCACCCCAAATTATCGATTGGATTTCCATATATCGATTAATTTCTGTATACATTTGATTGCTGGCTTTGTACGTAGCGCCATCTATTGGAAAAATTTAACAAAATAATTAACTAAATATAATTCATACAAAAAAGGATATAATTTTTTAAATATATTGTCTGCCATTACGCCATTGCTACGACAGGTAGCACGTAGCACTTGCCTGCGTGTAGTAGTGTTTTGTCCCCGTACTGTACATCATACTTTTCCTGTTACATAATCGGCACGACTCTATTGCTAACTAACTCCATTCGGGAAAAATTTTTGAATTGAAATAACGTGACTTGCAGTACAAATTGAAAGTTCTTATATAGTTAATCTGGTCCTCTTTCTCTTAAGCTTTCCATATCTGGTCTCGACTTTCATCTATCTAACCTTATTCTTGAAATTAACATAGGACAACCAGAAAAATGACAGTGGGAACTTATAGGTCTACAATTTTCTCAAATTGCAGCCCAATAAGTAACCAAGTTGATAAAACTACCGAACACCGGTAGTCGGTCGTGGGTTCGTCCATGGCCGACGGACTACACGGACGGGAAACCATACGTGGCCAATCTGGCCACATGTAGTTTTCCGGGTTTTCTTCGCGTTAATAACATTTAAATTGGGGCCAGCTTTACATAAATGTCTTCCCGGGATGCATCCCCCTCAGCAGATCGCTCAGGTGTCGTGTTGCTGTAACCAAATAAATCAAATTCTAATTATTATTCTATAAACGCTATATTTACGAGGACGTACTTAACTACCAGGAAACCTGGACATCCGCCCCCTTTCCTGATTTCATCTCCCCGTATTAACTCATAAACCCATTGCCCCAAACTTTCTACTCATATTGCCGAAAGATGTCCTAACATTCAGCCAAATTAATGTATGAGCCAAGATTTTAAGGCACAAAGTACATCTCGAAGTCTCTGTGCCGATGTTTATTTTGTGCCTTACGTCTGTTCTTGCTTCCCCTTCGCCACGTGGTGGGTCTAACTCGGTGGAGAGGAGTTATGTAATTCAGGGGTGTGTGACCGAGGGGTGAGTGTTTTATGGACGGGGTGTGTCTCAGGGAGAGGGGTGGAGGGAAGTGGAGAGTGGAGAAAACGGGAGATGAGTAAGGACAGGGAGTGAAGTGTGGGAAAATGTATAAGGGGTATCTAGTGTCTTTTGATAACTAATATGTTAATCAATGCCCTGATTAATAAAATTTTATAAATATAATTCATTTAATTTAAAACTAAATTAAACTGAATCTGTATAAAAATTCAAATTTTTATCAATTTATTTATTGAAAATCAGAGTATTATACATTAAAATTCTTATCATTCACCAATAATGTTTAACAACAATACAATTTAAAAATTCTGTACATAATTTTAAAATATTACACAGTGACATATTATTTAATATAAATATATTTAAAGTCATAAAACATTATTTCATAATTGCAATTTTTGGCATAAAGAGTATTTATAGTTTTACACAATTCAAAATTTTCAACCTTTCATTATAACAAATTTTATATATAATGTATAATAAAATAGGATACACAATTTTTTAACAAAATCATTTCAGTTTTATAGTTAAATAAAATGAAGCTGAGAAAATAATTTCAAAAATTATACATTAAATTTCTTACATGGAATGTATGAATTACAATAAATATATTGTATTGTAATATATAAATGCTACAAATAACTTTTGTAGTTAAATTCATATTCTTTCATGAAATGTGAGTCTGTATTAAAGCATAATATACAGCATTTAGTAAGCACTCATATACAGCACTCAGTAAGCAACAGAATTAGATATAAGCAAACATCAATTCATTATTAAAAAGAATGGTAATATTAACTAACATTTTTAAGAACTTATTGAAAAAATTCAATTGCTTTAATGTTTACAATGGCATAAGATAAGTTAGAGAAACAGTAAACAAAGCATTTGAAATAAAATTTGCCTTTTAAAAAAGTTTTAAAAAAACAAAGTATTACTTTCAGAAGAAAATTCTCTTATTGCCAAAAACATTAAAATAGTTGAATATTTAAAAAAATTATTTTAAATAGGATAGTTTATAGTTAAATTACCTTTGATGTATATAAAATCAAATATTAAATTCTATATTTATGAGTTTTTCTCTAATATGCTACATTACAATTGTAGATATTCAAAATACAGAAAGAGAAAATTTATTGTTTTTGCATTCAATAAAGAAATGTCTCCTTCCTCTTAGTAATATTAGAAAATTTCAATAATTGTTTATATTTTAAACAATAACAGTTATTTATTTTGTAAAAATTGTTTTATAAATTAAAATTCTCTATTATTTGTCATTTGAATTTTGTTAAAAATAGTAGTTTATTAACTTGTTTTATTTTATTGTCTCTTAACTGAATATTTATCTTTTTTGTTTGCAAATACTTCCGTCTATAATCTTGGACTTTTTGTGTATTATATGTAAATTATAGAAACTTGGAATTATTATAGAATATATTTTCAATTAAACCAACTTAGCTTCACAATTTGTTTCAAAAGCATTCACTAAATATAACTTTTTTATATCTTTTATTATATAATGTTATAAATGAAACTGATTTTTTTAATTATTGTCAATATTATCATATTATCATATTATCTTGGTGATAAAAAATGTTTCATTTTTTTGTAATTATTAAAATACAACAATTTTACATCACTGTAAATGTAAACAGAGTTTGCAAAAATTCTCTGTTTTTGGTGTCACAGAGAACTTAGTCATTTATTATGACTGAATTCTCTAACTAATAAACTAAAGAGTATTTTTTACTTTGTGTATATGAAGAAAACCTGTTTTTTTTTTTTAATCTGTGTCCTGTGAACATTAAAGGGCATTTTTCCCATGGTGAAGGATGGGGCTTGACCTATCTGGGATGGACTACTCATGAAAAATTCCAGGGGAGTTGCTTGCCTGGATTTCATCTTAGGTCCCTGAGCAGTAGGCCAATGTCTTAAGTGTCTCAGCTGTCTGGATGAAAACCAATTCTACAGAACATAAATTAATGCTTTTGCAACTATTTGTACTTTTGAATATCAAATGCTTGGAGAGAAAGTGTATATACAGTAGTTTTAAAAATATCAATGTATTCACTATAATATTCACTTCAAAGTAATCATACACTTTGGCTTATGAATTACAGATAATT